TAGAATAGCTCTTCCCCACTCACCAAGCCATTCCAGCCCTAACCCCCAGGTCCTGTTCAGCCCATCACAGCTCAGAGCTGGATTTCCATCCATTGTCTTCACTGAGATTATCCTGAAGGCCAATAAGAGAAATAGCCATAAAGAATGTCTCAACACCTGAAGAAATACCTGTGAAGATTTTGTACCTTATATTGTTTAGTGTTCTCACGGAAAACAGCCACATAATACATGTCTTTCAGAATTTAGTTCCAGAAATTAAAATTATAGTATATTAAAAATAGATTAATGTTTTAATATATTATGTATGTGGTGATGATCCAGATTGCTTCTCTTTGCAACAACAAAAAAAAAAGTGTTTTCTTTTTGTCCTTGGAAAAAATTTGATCCTCACTTGCAGCATTATATAATATTTTTCTATTTCTAATTTAGAATTCTTATTAAATGTGGGTGACCTGCAGTTATTCTAAAAGTAGCAATAAATATGATACTTTATTGATTTTTGAGCACTGCATATGTGCATTTTGTAAGCCCAAATTGCATTATAATCACTGCTGGTCAGTAATTCAGGTCAGGATATTCCAGAATTCAGGGGAAAGATGATTATCATTAAATGGATACTGCTAGGAGTCTTCAAACATTTTCAACTGACTTTTACTTACTACTGAAGTAATACTTATTTGTAGTAGAAAATTTCAATGGCAGATGGACAAAAAATATCATCTATGATTCTATAAATCTTTGGCATTTTGACCTTACAAATATGGTGTACCAAACATTTTTTAATTGCACATATATATTTCTTTAAACCAAAACCAAATCATTCTATGTCATTGAAAAGAGAACACAAATAACATGTGTATAGACCCCATGAACTATAGCCCACCAGGCTCCTCAGTCCATGGAATTTTCCAGGCAAGAGTACTGAAGTCGGTTGCCATTTCCTTCTCCAGGGGATCTTCCCAACCCAGGGATCGAACCCTGGTCTCCCACACTGCAGGTAAACGCTTTACCGTCTGAGCCACCAGGGAAGCCTATATATATATATAACCCATAAGCAATTGTAATTATAAGATGCTTCCAGAATGCTCGGACAAGAGAAATCAGGTAGTAAAAGTCAAATCAATAAAATTTATTTATTCCAATGATAGAGGTAAGTAATGGAATAATTCAGACCTACTTTATATCTTTTAATTTTTGAATCAACTTTTAAAATAAAAATTAAATAGAAAAGTATAGATTGAGAAGACCCACTCACCTCTATCCTTTTTTTGCTTACACTGTTTCATTTATTTCTTTTAATTTACTTAAAAAAATTTTTTATTGTCTCATTTATAATCATTATAGTGTCACTTTGATATGGGTGCTATGATTCATGGTAAGTTGCCCAGAGCTGCCTAACCTAACAAAACAAGGATTTTAACCCAAGGCCTTTCAGTTCCTAAACTGTACTCTTTCTTTACTGCATTAGATAACAGCCTATGATAGCTGGTGGCAGTATTTGACCCACGTTTATCTTTATCCACCATGTTTTTTCATCTGGTTTCCTGTGGTAATGACTTAAAAATATATTTGCATTGTTTCCAACCCAGTTTTATTTCAAACAGTACTGCAGTGAATGCTCTTCTTTTTGTGTTATTTCACATGTGTGAAAGTCTGTCTGTTTGCTCTTCCCTTTTTTTCTATTATGGTATACTTGATGTACAATTTTATATGTTTCAGGTGTACAATGTAGTGAGTCACAGTCTTTAAAGATTATACTCCGTTTATAATTATCATAAAATATTAGCTATATTCCCCACATTGTACAGTACATCCTTGTACGTTATTTCTTCATACATAGTAATTTGTACCTCTTAATCCCCCATCCCTTTCTTGCCCCTCTCCTCTTTTCTCTCCACACTGGTAACCACTATCTTGTTCTCTCTATCTGTCAGTCTGTTTCTTTTTTGTTATATTCACCAGTTTGTTGTAGTTTTTAGACTCCACATATAAGTGATATCATACAGTATTTGTTTTTCTCTGTCTGACTTATTTCACTTAGCATAATAGCCTTCTAGTAAATCCATGTTGTTGCAAATGGCAAAATTGCATTCTTTTTATGGCTGAGTAAATTCATGTGTGTGTGTGTGTGTGTGTGTGTAGGATGGCTCCTTTTCTCCATATCCTTGCCAACATTTGTTATTTATGTTCCTTTTGGTGATAGCCATTCTGACTAGTGTGAGATGATGCTTCATTGTGGTTTTAATTTGCATTTCTCTGATGATTGATGATGATTAATGATGTAGAAACATCTTTTCATCTGCCTGTTAGCCATCTGTATGTCTTCTTGGGAGAAAATGTCCATTCAGGTCTTCTGCCCATTTTAAAATTGCGTTGTTTTGGTTTTTTGTTTGTTTATTGGAGGATAATTGGTTTACAATATTGTGGTGGTCTCTACCATACATCAGTGCAAATAAGTCATAATTATATATCTCCTCCCTCTTGAGCCTCCCTCCCCTCCTCATTCCAACCCCCTCTCAGTCATCACAGAGCACCAGGCTGGGCTCCCTGTGTTATACAGCAGCTTCCCGCTAGCCATCTATTTTAAACACAATAGTGTATATGTGTCAGTGCTACTCTCTCAATTTGTCCCACCCTCTCCTTCCCCCACTGTGTCCACCAGACCATTCTCTCTGTCTGCATCTCCATTTCTTCTCTGTAAATAGGTTCATCAGTACTATTTTTCTAGATCCCATTTATATGCATTAATATATGATATTTGCTTCTCTTTCTGACTTCTTCACTCTGTATAACAGGCTCTAGGTTTATCCACTTCACTACAACTGACTCAATTTTGTTCCTTTTTATGGCTAAGTAATATTCCATTGTATCTATATACCACAACTTCTTTATCCATTCATCTGTCGATGGACATCTAGGTTGCTTCCATGTCCTGGCTATTGTAAATAATGCTGCAGTGAACATCGGGGTGCATGTATCTTTTAGAATTGTGATTTATGCCCAGTAGTTAGATTGCTGGGTGATATGGTAGTTTTATTCCTAGTTTGTTAAGAAATCTCTGTAATGTTCTCCATAGTGGCTATACTAATTTACATTCCCAGCAACAGTGCAGTAGGGTTCCCTTTTCTTCACTTCCTCTCCAGCATTTATTGTTTGTAGTACTTTGGTCATTCTGAGTGGTGTCAGGTGATACCTCAGTGTACCTTTAATTTGCATATCTCTAATAATGAGTGATGTGGAGCATCTTTTCATGTGTTTATTGGCCATCTGTATGTCTTCTTTGGAGAAATGTCTGTTTAGATCTTCTACCCATTGTTTGATTGGATTATTAGTTTTTCTGATATTGAACTATATGAGCTGCTTATATATTTTAGAATGAATCCTTTGTCAGTTGCTTGATTTGCAGTTGTATGAGCTATTTATATATGTTGGATATTAACCTCATATTGGTTATACCATTTGCAAATGTTTTCCCCCATTCAGTAGGTTGTCTTTTTATTTGGGGAAGACTTTCTTTTTAACCACTTTATTGAAGTACGGTTGGTATAAAAATCTGTACATATTTAATATCACAAAAACACTGATGCATTTGAGGATAATTATATACCCATGAAACTATCACCACCATCAAGGCCATAGACATATTTATCACCTCCCAAAGTTTACTTTTCTATTATTTTATAAGAACACTTAACAAAAGATCCATCTTCTTTGCAAATTTGAAATATGTGATGTAGTAATCTTAGCTATTGATATTATGCTATATAGTAGATCTCCAGAGTTTATCTTGCAAAACTAAAATTGTACACTTTAACAATTAGTTTCTTGGGTTGGAAATAAGAGTATATATATTCCCTACTTAGACAAAAGGCAGAATATTAGGTACATTCTTCTACACCTTGCTTTTTTCACTTAACAGCTTGTCCTGGAGATCTTCCATGTAAAAACCTACAAAATTTTGTCATTTTTTATAGCCATATAGTATATGGTTCTGTGGATGTACTATACATTGTCATCTATACACTGTCTTTTGCTATTATGGAGAGTGCCATAGTGAATATGCATATGTATACTTCATTTTGCCTATGTGTGACTACAACTATAGGACATTTTCCAAAATTAAAATTGCAGAGGCAAAGATAAGTGCTTTTTTACTTTGATAGATATTGTCGAATTGACCTGTAAATATTATACCATCTTCCATCACTGTCAGAATGTTTCCCTACAGCCTCATAATTATTTGTAATACTTTGTCTGGTTTTAAAAAGAAAATGCCATTCCAATGATTCTGACTTACTTGAGCTTGAATTCTCTGAGCTCAAACAAATTGTTTAATATATGAATTTGAAGTTGGTGTAGTCAGCTCTTTATTATTTATTGACATAAAAAGGAGCCATACCTTAGTTATTCACAATGGCAGATAATTCGGTAGTAATTCAGTTCAGCTTTGAAATGTATTATGACATTTTCCCCATTAAATTTTCTTTCCTGACAGTGTCAGCAACAGGAAGCATTAACTCAGTTTTTAGCACAAACTGGGTACTGATGGAAGAAGAAAGTGAAAAATTGGAAAGAAGTCAGTGTAGGATTCAGAATTTTTCCACCTTACCTCTGGGATCATAGATAGTATGATTTTGGTCTTTTGATACCTATATCTATATATTTTCAAATGTTGCAACATGCTCAGACTACTTCTATTTAAAAATAGAGTCATAGTTACCATTGAAATGTATCATATTCCACTATTTTCAGCCTGAGAAGTGTAAACCTTTAAGGGAAACAATTAAGTAGCACTAATTTATCAATTAATTACAATTTTAATGAAATTAGTTCCAACATATTTTAAATTGCTTCTTACCACATTATCACTTAGAAAGTGGAGAAGGCATATATAAATAATGGAGAGTTTATGAGGTTGGGTTGGCCTCAGTATGAGCCTCTGGTGGGGAGGGATCAACAGTACAGAAATGTCTGATTTCAGCCTTTCTCCCTCCTTGCAGCATCTTCCTCAAAGAACTGGAGAAGTATGAGCAGCTGCCTGAGGATGTGGGACACTGCTTTGTTACCTGGGTAACCTACTGAACTTCTCCTCCTACCATCCCATGTTTTCCAGGAGTATAGGTGACACCAGATGGCATCACTGTTCAGTGCCTGAGCTGATGATTGGTGTCACTGACATTCTAACACAGGACCAGGGGCTGTAGAGAAGATCCATGAGTAGGTCTGAAAGAAAGCAGTCTATCACTGAGCACCGGAGCCCTCCTTGGGAAAGGTCCTTAGATGTTGTGTCTGATATCTACCTTAAAAAAACTTTCAAAAACTGTAATGTCAGGAGATTGAAACAAGACCACCACCCCTGGTAGAAGAACTGTTCCAGCTCCACCCACGAGTTATTTTTAACAGGATGAGGATTAGGGAATTAGAACTTTAGAAATCCACCAAGCCATTGTTTACATTTTCTTCCTTAATAAGAGAACAGACTCCTTGGGTATCCATCCCAATTCTGACCTACAGGATGTATATGTTGTCATTCTCTTTCTTGGAGCTGTTGTCATGGGCCAAGTAAATGGGCTGAATGTACGAGGTTCTAATTATATAAATGGAAACTAGTCTCTGTTAGTATCTCCACACCCCATTATCCTGAGTTCAGGTTCGTGAAATGTGTACCAACATCTCCAGGGAAGCCCACCTAGTACAATAAGTGCAACTAAACATGGAAATCTTTCCCCAGGGCCAAGAGCTCTAAATATTCAACAGTTAACTAATTAGAACTTCTACTCAAAATGGGCTAATTATTTTTCCAATGTCTTCACAATTCAGAGAGTTTGCGCTCTTAATGGCCCTATGGAATAGGCAGGGCTGTAGTTATATTTTATATTTTATAGATGGAAAGATTTCAGAGGAGCTAGGGTGTTGACTAGTCTGTTGACATATAATTAATATCACAGTTTATCCTGCAACTCTAGACCTGAGTTGCCTCCTTTTTCTGAAACTGTAACATTTACTTCCTGGCCTATTCTCTTAAGGAAGTCTCAGACTACCATTTTATTTTGTGCTAATACATTTTCCACCTCTAAATACATGAGCCCATGCACAGTTCACATTATTGCTAATAAATAGTATATGATCCCTTGCACAGCCAATGAAGAGAAAAAATGAAACCATTAAGTGAAGGAATTTTTTTTTTGGTATCTTGTTTCATACATTTTGTGGATTTGCCTTACAATCAACCATAAGTATGATTTATTAGCATCTCTTAGTGATGATGAATGCCTCCTAAATAGTACATAAAATTGGTTTCAGAAAACCTTTAGTATAAAATATGCTCATTTTGCCAAGAATTATCTCAAAGTGATTTCTTAAGTTTTATCACCTAATGTATGACTATAGTGCAGGAGTTAAGGGTAGAAAGAGTTGCCGTGTATTGAATGTCAAGAGTTATGACCAAGAAGCCTCAAGTCAACTTGCCTGGGCTCCACTGCTTTCTAAATGTAAAGTGACCTAACCTACATTATGGACTTCTCTTGTGGCTCAGTGGTAAAGAATCTACCTGCTAATGCAGGAGACACAGGTTCTCTCCCTGGGTCAGGAAGATGCCCTGGAGAAAAAGAAATGGCAACCCACTCCAGTATTCTTGCCTGGAAAATCCCATGGACAGAGGAACCTGGCAGGCTACAGTCTGTGGGGTTGCAAGAGTCAGACATGACTTAGCGACTAAACAACAGCAACCAACCTCATGCCACTATTTTCATACCTGTTAAGTGGTTCTCTCCCTGGGTCAGGAAGATGCCCTGGAGAAAAAGAAATGGCAACCCACTCCAGTATTCTTGCCTGGAAAATCCCATGGACAGAGGAACCTGGCAGGCTACAGTCTGTGGGGTTGCAAGAGTCAGACATGACTTAGCGACTAAACAACAGCAACCAACCTCATGCCACTATTTTCATACCTGTTAAGTGGGTTGATAATAAAAGAACTCATCACATAGGGTTCTCATAAGGATCAAATGAGTTAATATGTATAGAGTACTTGGGAAAGTGCTGGCATAAGTGAAACCTGCCATAATTAGCACATAGTTAGGCTTCTTTTTTAGAAGAGGACATCCCCAATGTTATGTGGGCATTGGGATGGGGAGTATTTCACAGTTGGGAAAAGTGCTTGGTGGCCAAAGTACACGTAACTTTCCCAGTGGAGAGGCTGTGAAGCACTAACCCAGAAGATGTCAAAGACATAAGAAATGAATTTTTACCAAGCCATAGGATTCTTGACTTGAATTAGCAATCTGTTTAGAATTCACTGTTTAGGATTCACTTAGGACCCCCTAAGGGTCACCCTGCTTTCCTTTTCCCCCATCATTGCTTCTGGTACATGTGGGATGGTGGCACAGTTGCTTGACATGCCCTAGAAACTGCCCCCATGGGGACATTTAGAGTATGAGCAGATCTCCCTCTGAGATTACACTTCATTTTCATTCTTTGACTTTTTGTTTTTAAAGCAAATGCTAGCATTTTACAAGATGGGAAGCAAATTATAGGTAACGCCAAAAGGGGGATACTCTCTCAATAAATTCTGTCCAGCTTCAGGACATATTATGATTTGTAAATTGATTTTTTAATTCTATCTAGCACAGACTGGTTTTAAAATGAACTTTCTTTCAGTGAGTTCTCTTCCCCTACTGATAGGAAAAAAATTATCCCCAAGTTTATTAGGGTAGCACAGGCCTATGAGCCCAGGACATTTGCCACAGGATTGTCTGTACCAGGCAATATCTGATGGTTTAACTGCACAACACTTGATGGCACAGTCAACAGCAGGGAGCAACTATTGGATGCTGATCTATTATTATTTTTGTTTTTTTAGGCAGACAAATTTCAGATGTACGTCACCTACTGTAAAAACAAGCCTGATTCCAACCAGCTGATCCTGGAGCATGCAGGCACCTTCTTTGATGTAAGCTGTGAATTTCCATTCTTGAGCCACTGATGAGCAGGTGGAATGCTTTTCTACTTTGAGATTATGGGTTTCTAACTATCCTTTGTTCCTCATTTTTCTTTACTGGCCTCCCAGTCCTCTCTCTCATGGATAAAACATGGAAAAAACCAAAACCATTATTTATCTTTTGTTTTGGGTTTCCCTGGTGGCTCAGTGGTAAAGAATCCATGTGCCAAGCAGAAGACGCAGGTTTGATCCCCAAGTCAGGAAGATCCCCTAGAGAAGAAAATGGCAACTCATTCCAGTATTCTTGCCTGGGAAATCCCATGGAAGGGGAACCTGGCGGGCTACAGTTCGTGGGGTTGCAAAAGAGTTGGACACGACTCATAAACAACAAAACAATAATATTGTGTTTTACTTCGTCCCATCTCAAGTGCTGTGGTTTCTGATAAGGCACACTTGCCTGCGTGTCTCAACATCATGGAGTAGCAAAGAGCTGGACACAGTGAGCAACTAAGCATGCAGCACCCAATCTAGCTGGCCACAAGTCTCATGTGGAGGAGAGGCGTGCTGGGGAGCAGGTGCCAGTTAAGATGTTCCACTTCTGCGTGTGCGTGCGCGCATGCTTAGTCGCTCAGTCATGTCCAACTCTTTGTGACCCCGTGGACTGTAGCCCTCCTGTCTCTGTCCATGGGGATTCTCCAGACAAGAATACTCGCATGGGTTGCCATGCCCTCCTCCAGGGGATCTTCACATCCCGGGGATCAAACCCAGGTCTCCCGCATTGCAGGAGGATTCTTTATCATCTGAGTCACCTATATAGCTCTCAAATGCAGGATTCTCAAAGTGTGGTCTCAGCCCAGCTACATCGTCATCACCTGAGAACTTGTTAGAAATACCTATTTTGGACACTGCTCCAGATCTATTGAATCAGAATCCCCAGGGCTGGAATGAAACAACCTTTGAGTTTTAAGGAGCCCTCCAGGTGACTCTGATGCCCAACCAAGTTTGAGAATCACTAACTACTCTGATACAATTATTTCAACCTTGACTGCCCCTTGGAATCACCTTAGAGTTATGAAAAGTGCTGGTTCCAGTCCTAGCCCTGATTGTGTTATGATCAGCCTGGATCTGCCCTGGGCATTGAGATTTTTAAACATTTCCAGGTGAGAGTAAAGTGCAGCCAGGGTCAAGCACTTGTTCTGTAGTGGAAGCCAAGAGGATTCAGAGCTGATGTGCCTTGTCAGGTCCTCTGGTTTTGGGTGAGCACACAGTCCTGTTGGCAAATGATGTGTATATGATACTGGTCCCCAGAGAGTGACTTATTGGCTATAACATGAACAGAATCAAATGGGTCACTGTAGGATGCATGGGAAGAACAAGGGGGAGAAAAGAAATGAGACTAAAAAAGTGAAGTTCAATGAGAGGTAGGTGATAACAGTGATGACCATTCTGATAGTCATATCAGAAGTGACAAACACTTGAAATTCAGAAAATTTTAAATGTCTATCAGTCTAACTTTCTACCTACTCATTCCTTCTCTAAATATTTGAATGTATACTATAGGAAAGATAATGTGCCAGGTCCCATGGAGTCTCAGACATTCAAACATGGTTCCCCACACTCAAGTTTACAAAATAATCCTTCTCTGAGCATCTTTCTAGCCTGACCTGCTGTAACAGAAATGATCCTACAAGTGTCTTGTTGCTCAGTGAAGGAATAATACTTGAATGGGTGAAAGCCAGACAAGAAAAAACAGACATGATTTTTAAAGATGGAGTATCACTATGGAAATGGTCCCAAAGTGAAATTTGTGAGGTTTTGTTTAAACTGAAAACTCAAGAAAAGTACTTCTCTGACTTGGTATCAGAAGTTACTGGGTATCATTTTGGATGCCCTATACTGCTATTCTCTCTCCTTAATAATGTATTTCTCTTAAGATATTTCTGGTTTTTTATCAATAGTATCTAAAAGAGTCTTTTTGAAGTTTTAAATGCACTGTGTCCTGTCTTCCACTTCACATTTTTCTGAACATACATATCCTAATGCTCTGAGCAGGCTGCAGACTCATGTGCCTCCTTATCTTTGCTCATACTATTCTCACTGCCTAGGATAGACTGTGAGCCCTTTGCACACACTGCACACAGGCACACATAGACACTCTTAGCAGTCTTCCTATACTTAAACGGTCACAATCATGTGTTGCTTCCTATGTGAATCCTTGACTTTCTCTTTGTGTGCAGTATACTTTGTCTCTTTATGGCATTTGTAACCATCTGCCTTTTGACAGGTTACAAATGCCATACTATGCCTTTTGTGAGCTCCTCAGGAGGTTGACTCATGGTTTGCCTGGTTCATTTTTCACATGTTAAAGAGTCTGGTGCTAAACTGCATTTTCCTCTCACCCTGCATTCCTCATATTCTTGTTTCTAGCCAATTTCTAGGCTTTGATTTATAAGTTGGACATACCCCATTTTACACCCTACCCCCCATTTCCAACATCATGCCTGATGAGCCTGTATATTAGTTGGGGAGGCCAATGCAAGCCAGAAAACCAGTCCAGTAGGAGTTCCTAGAGCTTGGCCTGGAGGTGGAGAGAGCGGGCAGCAAACTCTCCTGATGGTTCCCTAAGCATTCCAGAAAACATGATCTTTGTAGCTTTTTCCCTCCCATCAGAAGAGTTTCCCTAAATTCTATACTTAGAGACCATCTACTTTAAGGCTCTCCTTTTATCAGAGATAAACCCCCAATAAAGACAGCTCTGTTATCCATTATTGTAAAGATAGCAGAGAAAATTCAAGTACCAGAAAGGCCCACACATTGACATGATCCAGCATTTTCTACACCAGACATGGGAGCTGTGAGGCTGTGATGACTGGTACCCTGTTGATTACTAAGCTTGGTTGGCTGACCTAGCCACTGGACACCACCCCTTCTTATTCTCCACATGAAGCCTTCCTGGAACTCGGCATCTTGTCAGAGAGGGAAGCCAATCAAAGTGCCTTATTGCCTGAGCTCTCTTGCCAAAGCCCCAGATAAGCTCAAACTGTTCATTTGCCCAAATAGGGTCAGCCTGCCAGCTGTTTTGCCCATTTTCCTTGAACACGTCCTGATATAAACACACACCTCTAGGGAAGAGGCAAATGAATGAGAAAATTGCCACCTTCTGGGATAGCTGGAGGAAAATGGAATGGTTTATTATTATTATTTGCTTTTCTTCACATTCCTTCATGGCCCATAACAAGTCCTACTTTGTCTAGGTTTAAAATGTTTCTTGTAGTTCTGATGCTTTGTGTTCACTAACCTTCATTTATGGCAAGCCCCTACATTACACATCTGTAGATATAGATGTATGTAAAGGGTACAGTTTGTTTTTGTACCTTCACAGGCATGTGCAGCCATCCTCACAGTCAATTTTAGAGCATTTTCATCACCTCATAAGGCAACCCCACACCCTTTAGCCATCACTCTCCACCTTATCCTCCCTGCACCCCCAGTTCTGAGCAACTGACAGTCTATTTTCTATCTCTATGGATTTCCTCTTCTGGACATTTAATTTAAAAATGGAATGATATGTGTTCTTTTGTGACTGACTTCTTTCACTTAGCATAAAGCTTTCAAGCTTCATCTATGTTGTAGCATGTCTCAGTATTTCATTCTGTTTTACGGCCAAAAAAATACTCTATTGTATGACTATAATACATTTTGTTTTTTCACTCATCAATTGATGGACATTTGGGTTGTGCCCACCTTTTCACTACTCTTAAAAATAATACTACTATGAATATTTTGCAGCAGTTTTTGTGTGGACATATGTTTTGATTTCTGTTGGGTATATGCCTAGGAATGGAATTGTTGGATTGATGGTAATTCTATTTTTAAACACTTAGATTTCTGCAATAATCTCTGGGCTGGTCTCTGTGTCTGTTTCCCAACCTTTACTCTCTGTGTTGCTATTAGGCTTATATGAGTCTTTCTGAAACATTGTTTTCACCATGTTTTTCTTCTATACAAGATCTGCAACACTTTGCCCTTGAAAAACTCACCATCAAACCCTAATTCATTCTTTTTAGCTCTACACCATCAATGACCTATGTACATCTTGCTTATCTAACTGTATTTTCACTTTTTCCAGAATCTAGGTGTGATCCTCTCTACTGCTCAGGCACTCCTTATCATCTAAAGACACTGTGATTATTTCCTGTGTGTTTTGGTTTATACATTTTCCCTTTATCTATTCCCCTAGAATAGTTTCTAATCATTTTGTATCTTTTTCTTTTCTCCTCTGTCCTTAATCCTGCCTACCTCCTCTCAGAACACATATGCACACAGGTCCCCCTGTGTCTAACAGTGTCCGTTCTCATCCCTGTAGGAGATACAGCAGCGGCACGGTCTGGCCAACTCCATTTCTTCCTACCTAATTAAGCCCGTCCAGAGGATTACCAAGTACCAGCTGCTCCTGAAGGTACCTCCCCTCACCTCTATGTCTCCCTGACCACACTGCCAACCAGGTCCAGGGAATCCTAGCTTTGCCCAGGCATGGGAAAGCTTCTACCTGAAGACCTTTCCTCTGCCTGGAGCAGAACTTCAGAAATGAGCCCACGCTGCCATTGCTGGCTCCAGACTGCATGTTCTATCCCATGAAACCCCACATGCTTATTTTGGGGGAAAGAGGAGAAATGGAAGCAGGGATGGATTGTGATTGTTTTCATATGCACCCACCACTGCACAGCTCTTAGTGACTGCCACTTCAAACAGTGGTGGGTACACAGAGACTCTCCCATCCTTTCCTTCTGGGCAGATTCCTCCTGGTGGCCCTTGCTTGGTAGGATCCAGGATCAAGGTCTTAGGGGCAGTGCCAACATGGGCAGTGGAGGCCTAGGGCAGCACGTATCATTGCCTTAATCTCTGTGTTTGTCTAGGAGATTTTAAAGAGGAAATAGTTTGGAAGTGCATACATATATAGCTTTTATTATGTTGAGGTATGTTCCTTCTATTCCTGCTTTCTGGAGAGTTTTTATCATAAATGGATGTTGAATTTTGTCAAAGGCTTTTTCTGCATCTATTGAGATAATCATATGGTTTTTATCTTTCAATTTGTTAATGTGGTGTAT